AGATATGAAGAGCTTGTCCCTCAAAACATCATCATCTGTTGCTTGGGAATCCTTTGGATTTAGCACAAGTGTCCTGGAACAAATCATATGCAGCTACTTCTATGTGTCTGTACTGCAAAGCAACACAACTTCAATCACCTAAAAAGACACCAAAAACTGCAGTAAAATTCATGCATGAAGGCCAAGAAAACCATTGCAGTGCTTGCTAGCATGAATCATTCAGTACCATTGCAGACATACACCACGTGTGCCCACTAAAGAAGTTGAGTAACAAATCTTTCAGGAAAATGGTAAACTTACTGCGCAAACCATATGTTATCCTGTCATGCAGTGTCCTGATAATTTTGTTTAGTTAGGTTTTGGTACTGGTTTTTTTCTTTTAAATATTTGTTATTTTTCTTTAAAGATAATTTAGGTGAATAAAAAGGACCAATTTTATTTTCATGCAAAGATCTGGACAGATGTGAAGATAGGAAAGCAGTGTTGTGGTTACATGTGATCTCAAACCATCCATCCACTGTCTTCCACTTATAATTGTCAGGGTCATGGTGGGGGCTGGAACGTATTCCAGCTACCATAGGGCGAGAGAGGCAAAGCACACCCGGGACAGGTCGCTAATCTGTCACAGGGCCAACACATAGAGACAGACAACAATTCACACTCACATTCACACATGAGCAATTTAGAATTACCAATTAACCAAACCCCACTAACTGCATGTCTTTGGACTGTGGGAGGAAGCCAAAGTACTTGGAGAGAACCCACACAAACACAGAGAAAACGGAAAAGGGACAAGAACACTCCACACAGAAAGGCCCCGGCCAGATGGTGGAATCAAACTCAGGACCTGTGGTGTTAATCACCACACCACCGTGCTGCCCCTGTGCGATCTCAATATTAGTCAAAATAATCATAATCAAAAAATTAAAATAATCTTGATTATCAGTTGTCAGTGCTGGGGAGTAAAGGAATACATGTTACCTTATGTATTTAAAATAGACTGCAGACTGTTAAGACTTGATGGATAGCAGTAACAATAATCATGTGAAGTTCTGAAAGCAGTCTATGAACTAAACTCAGCTAAAGCCAGCTAACAATGTTAGCTCGGTGGCGAGTAGCCTTCAGTAATAGTAATAAATCACAGAGCATTAGTGCAATAATGTAGATGTGAAAAGCATTGCAATATATTAAGTAATCCAAAGTATTTAGAATACGTTACTCACATTGAGTAACATATTACATTGCAAACTACATTTTTGGGCATGTATTCTGTAATCTGCAGTGGAATTTGAAAAGTAATCTTCCAAGCACTGTCAGTTGTGCAGCCCTAATTGTATTTCTCTTCATCACTCCATAAGTACTGTTGCCATTGATTTTCTGTTCAGTTCTTGTGCAATTTATAATTTTCTCAGTGTTTTCCTTTATTAATAATGGCTTCTTTCACTGAGACCATTTCTGACGACGCTTCAGCAAACAGCAGATACATCACTGGAAGACCAGATGCAATTTTTTTGTATATTCAACTTTTTTCCTGTCTATCAAACTAGTCACCTTTTACAGGCACGGCTAAATTCAAAATTTGCATCATCATGATAAAGAGATTTAAAAAATGTTAAATACGCATGTGACGATGAAGGAAGACAGTCAGAGAAATCGATCAGTGTGAGGTGTAAACTCTGTCTATATGGCTTAATACTAAGATGAAGCAGGCAAATGAAAGACAACAAAGACAACAATGTATATTATTTTCCTGAATTTAACTACAGGTGTGAAAGCAATCCTTAGACAGTTGTATCATAACTTGTGGCAAACCTCACCATGTTG